TTGTGGTCACTCAAACTGCCGGTGAGTGCCTTGAGCTCCTGCCCTTTTTCTTCCCTCTCTTCTTATTTTTAAATGCTATTTGTGAATCCAGCTAGGGTGTCTCTGGTATTTTTCACCTGTCATGGTCTGTACTATGTTGAGCATCCTTAACCAGAAGAAGGCTTGCTGCAGGGGTCCTCAGAAGTCAAACAGGGGTCCCTAGGCTATAAGAGTGTAAGGGAAGGAGCATAGGCCTTGTAGTCCCCAGCTTTCACGTTCTAATGCAGAAGCTGTGTGACCTTGGGCAGGGGACTTTGCTTATAAAGTAAAATGTGATAAGCAGATGTAGTGTGTAAAGTATCCAGCACATGCTGTGCACAGGGCACCCAGCTGGTGGTGGCAATCTTTTCAGTACACTCCCTCCAGAGAGTCAGCCTGAACTCAGCCTTGCAAGCTCCAGCTCCCTAGCCAGTGTTCATGCAATCCTTTTTTTATTCAACAGAAAATTATGGAAAGCCCACTGTGCACCAGACACTCTTCCTAGGCACTGGGGATGGAGTTTCCTTGTGGAGTTTACATTCTAGGGCAGCACTAATCAATAGAACCATCTGCAACAATGGAAATGTTCTACATCTGTCCTGCCCAGGGTGGTAACCCTTTGCCACATGTGGCTACTTAGCCTTTGAAATGTGGCAAGCACAAATGTATTAGTTGTCTCTTGCTGCATAACAAAATATCCTGAAACTTAACAGCTTAAAGCAAAACTTTGTCTCACAGCTTCTGAGGGTCAGGAATTAAAAAGTAGGTTCGGGCTCAGGATCTCTCGGGAGGTTGCAGCCAGGATGTCGGCCGGGGTTGCAGTCATCTGAAGGCTCAACTGGGGCTGACGGACCTGCTGCTGAGATGGCACATTCATGGAGCTGTTGGCAGGAGGCCTTGGTTCTTGGCCTTGTGGCCTCTCCCCAGGACCACATGAGTGTCTTTATGGCATGACAACTGGTTTCCCCCAGAGCAAGTGACCCAGGGGAGAAGAAGGGGGATGTGGCAAGGCCTTTTACAATTTAGTCTCAGAGGTCACACACCGTCGCTTCTGCTGTGTCCTATTGGTCACACAGACCTCTCCTGATACTGTGTGGGAGGAGAGTACACAAGGGCATGAATGCTAAGAAGCAGGGGTTATTGGGGACTCTTGGAGGCTGACTACCCAGCCACTGAGGAGGTAAATTTTTAGTTTTGTTTCATTTCATGTTGACTTAACTGGCCACATGTGGCTGGTGGCCACTGTTTTGGACAGCACAGACCTAGCGTGTC